ATGATTTGATTATCAGCCAATATCCAGATCAGCAGAATTACTATTCTTGATCTGAGAAATCTCCCCAGTGTGAATGATGAAATCAAATAGATGTCTTTTTCATTGTAGCTTTCTTTTATAATTCAGCTCTGTAAATCTCTCCCATTTTGTTTTATTTTGATATCTTTTCAACAACCAAAAAAGCAAAACAAAACCAGAACAACCCCTTTCTAACAAGCTTGAGTCAGCTAAAACTGTCATTCTGCCTCAGCATATCACTCCCTCTACGATAACAAACAATGAAAATGAATAGAAGATTATGTGTCTGGTTTGCTGAAATTCTTTGAGCAACTCATGCCTCAGGGTGATTTTGTTATAGTTGGACTGAATTTAAATATACAGCAAGCATTGTATGTACTTTTTGTGTCTTAATAATTAGTTTACCTATTGCAGATGTTTTAAATTTTCCCTTTCCCATTGCTGAATGCAAACACAAAAATACATTCTCTTTGGAAATCACAACAACAGAAATTCAATGTGAATGGAATTAGAAAAAGGGCTGTATGGTCTAATTCATGAGGCACTTTCTAGAATCAGGGGTTCTTTCCCATTCTCAACTACTTGTGTGAGCCCCCTTCAACTTACTTAGGCTACCAACTCCTCAGTTGTCTTATTAAGATATGCCTTCCTTGCCCAAAAGCAAAGAACTAGCTACATCTTAAACCTCAAGGTCACCTTCAGATCAAAATTATATTAATTTAAATTATACCAGGTGAGTTAGTTATAATATTCAGACTCATTCTATTCCTGGTATGTTTACTATATTTCCCTCTCAGCTTGATTTTCCAAGAGATACTAAAAAAATCTCAATAAATAACAATATCAGTCATCAATATGTCAGTCCCAAAACCTTGGAGTTATCTTGGGTTCTTCTCTTCCTCTCACACCCCATACCCAGTTCAATAGGAAATCTGTCAACTCAGTCATCAAAGTATGTACTGAATCATATAACCTCTTAGTAGCTTTACTATCAGCACCTTCATCTGCACTCCACGAAAACCAATGGTTGCATTCATACTTAAAAGGTGGATTAATTGGGCAATTTACATGGAGAACTAGATATAACCATTTCGTTCCTGGAGTTATACTCAAAAAGACACACTTGCAAGAACCTAACATGTGATTTTCGGTTTCAGTTTAACTCCTAGATGGGAAGTGGCCTCAAACCTCACATATCCATACATGTGTAAAGTGTAGGGTGAAGAAATTCCTCCAACACTTGGCTGGGGTGAGGTGATTATAGTACCATCCTGAGTGGGCAGTTTGTACCTGCCTTTGCCCCAGCCTCAGCATATTTGCAACCTAGCACTCACAACTATTCTTTTGAAATGCAAGTTATATTATGTCACTCCTCTACTCAAACACTTTACTGCTTGCCCATTTTACTCAGAACAAAATCCATTAAATGTGGCATGCTTTGGATTCTTCCAGCTCTTTGACCTCATCTTACAGAATTCTCCCTTCTTTCTCACCTCACTTCAGCCACATTGGGCCTACTCCTGGTCTCCATGCAGCCACATTTTGTCTGAGGATCTTTGCTCTTGCAGTCCCCTCTGTAGGTATGTTCAGAGCCCGTTCTTTTCCAATTCCTTAAGGTTCCTGCTTAAATATTACCTCATCTGACAGGATTTCTCTTATCCATTACTGAAAAATAGGCAATGCCACCATACTTCTCTACCTTATGTAGCTTTTTTTAATTGCATACAACACATTACTTATCACACACACATATACCTCCATTTTCTGTCACTCTCCCCTGCCTCACTAGATTCTAAGTCCTATGCTAGTACTAAATTGTATCTTATCTATTTTGTTTTATTTTATACTGTGTCTCAAATAGTGTCTGACTCAATATTGTTCAAAAACCCTAACTAAGGGGTAAAATTATAAGACCCTTTGAATAAAACATAGAATAACACCTTCATGACATTGGATTTGTAGTCATTTCTTAGATATGACACCACAAGCACAAGCAACACAAGAAACAATAAATAAGTTGGAGTTCACCAATATTAAAACTATATTAAAAATTTGTATACTATCAACAGAATAAAAAGAAAACCCACAGAATGGGAGAAAATATTTTCAAATCCTATATCTGACAAGAGATTGATATCCAGTATATGTAAAGAACACCAACAGCTCAATAACAAGAACAAAAATATCAAACTTAATTTAAAAACAGGGAAAAGATTTGAATAGACATTTCTTAAAAGAAGAGATAAAAGTGATCAAAAGTACATGAAAAGATGCTTAACATCATTAATTATTAGGTAAAGACAAATCAAAAGCACAATGAGATATTCCATCACACCCATTAGAATGGCTATCATCAGAAAATAATGTGTTGGCAACAATGTTGAAAAATTAGATCCTTTGTACATTGTTAGTAGAAATATATATGGTATAGCCACTGTGGAAACCATATGGGGAATGCTCAAAGAATTCAATATAGAATTACTTATGATCCAGAAATTTTTCTTGCGGGTGTATGTCCAAAAGAAATAAAAGCAAGGATTTCAACACATATTTGTACATCCATCTTCTTAGTACCATTATTCACAATAACCAAAAAGTACAAGCAACCCAAGTGTCCATCAATGGATAAATCAGTAAACAAAATATGGTATGAACATAAAATGAAAAATTCTTTATCCTTAAAAAGGAAAAAGACTTCTGACACATGCCCCAATATGGATATACCTTGAAGGCATTAGGTAAAGTGAAATAAGCCAGTTAATAAAGACAAATACTGCATGATGCCACTTATTTGAGGAACCCAGAGTAGTGAAATTCATAGAGGCAGAAAGTAGAAAGAGGGTTATTAGGGAGTGGAGGAGATGCATATGAGGAATTAGTCTTTAATGGGCACAGAATTCTAGTTGGTGAAGATGAACAAGTTCTGGTGATAGCCATTGGTGATGGTTTCATAACAGTGTAAATGTACTTAATGGCACTTAGCATACAGATAAAAGTGGCTAAAATGGCAAATTTTATGTTATGTATATTTTAGAGGAATAAAAAGAACTCTGTAATATTAGACCAAAGTGTTAGCACTTTGTAATGCTATTTAATATTCAGATAATCTTGGAATGCACTATAACATTCCTCCTTTTTAGAGAAGACAAAAGAGGCTGAGATATAACTTTCTCAAGATCACACATGTAAGTTATGAAAGGCTGATTCCAAACTCAATGTATCTGGGCTTCGAATTCCGTGATCATTATTCTTTCCTTGTCCGAAATTAGGAAGGAATGAAAGAAAGAAAAAAAAAATCTTTCTTGTAGCTATAAAATGCATGCTGGCTCTTATGTGATTTTAAAGGAATATAAGAAGCATTATCTTCTTTGTTAATTTTGAGCTCTTCTCCTAAAATGTATGTAATATATTACGGTAAATTTTTAAAATGTATGTAAGCAAGGATCTGAGCAGTTGAAACTTAAGGGTATTGTAATTTTTATATGAACACCAAAATAGCAATCATCGGCATTGTCTTATGAACAGTTTGTAAAATGTGCATGGCTGCAGATAGTAGATTTTTTACTTAGAAATGAATATTTAAAAAGTAAATGTTCTTGATGAAAATAAAAAACATTCCAAAGATTGAGTTTATAAATATATAGTGGAATTTGAATGTATAATTTCTATGTCCTAATTATTGCCAACTGGTTAGAGAAAACAGATATGCCAAGGATTAATCCTTTGCAAACCATGCAATTACATTTAACTAAAATAAGACAGTATTGCTAAATAATACCACCTATTGATATAACTAACAAATGCCCACAATATTTAATTTTGTGTATAGTACTTTATTATCCCTATTATGTCTTTACATTATAATTAAAACCTTTTAAAACATATATAACATTTATAAAAGTCCCATTCAATTACATAATGCAATTATATCTGGTCATATAATATTCTAAATTTCTGGCATGGTAATGAATTAAAAACCCCAAGTTTGAAGTCATAGAGAGTCATGGTGGTTCAAAAGATTGAAACTTCTGGTTCTGGTTCAAAATTTAGTTGGCTGAATAAATACTAGAGAATGACTCTTTTAGAAATCTCTCTATTCCACTGATCACTTGCAATTCTTTATGCTAATCAGTCTCACTCTGGATCTACATTTATCCTCAGCCACATTGGTACCATGGTTGACCATTTTCATCATCATCACCATCATTATTATTATTATCATCATCATTATCTTCATCATCATTTTCAAAATGGACCACTTACTATGTATCAAGAACTATACTAAGTACTTTATATACTCCTATGAGAAAGAAATTATTATTCGTTTTTTGCTGTCACGGGGAGCTTAAATAGCTTGTTTAAAATTAGGCAGATGGTAAATAGTGGGACTGACATTTTAAATCCAGTTCTCACTGAGTTATTACAATGTCCTTCTCAAAAGCTTGTGTTCACTCATTTCCTTGTTTATGGCTCTGATCCAAGCACAAAACCATCTGTAACCTGGGCTATTGCAGCCATTTTCTTTATTTGCTATTTTTATTTTGGAAAAAACAATAAAAACAAAACAAAAAAAACCCCCTTAACCTTTTTATTTTCTGTGTTAAACACACCTCAGTGTCTATGCAAGAAAAAAAAAACAAAAAAAACCCCCTTAACCTTTTTATTTTCTGTGTTAAACACACCTCAGTGTCTATGCAAGATGTGTACTTTTCCTTTCCTTGAAGAATTAATATTTTTATATATTTTTTTGTATTTCAGAATATTGTGGGGATACAAATGTTTAGGTTACATATGTTGTATTTGTACCTCCTGAGTCAGAGCTACAACCATGCTCATCCCCTAGATGGTGTACACTGCACCCATTAAGTGTGTATATACCCATCCCCTCCTCCCCCTCCCACCTACCTGACACCCAGTGAATGTTACTACCATATGTGCACTTAAGTGTTGATCAGTTAATACCAATCTGTTGATGAGTGCATGTGGTGATTGTTTTTTTCCATTCTTGTGATACTTCACTTAGTAGAATGGGCTCCAGCTCCATCTGGGATAACACAAAGAACTAGCATTTTGATGTGACTTCTTAGTCACCTTCTTTCCACCTCCTTTGGGTCATTGATCCACTTGACTTCGTTGCTGTGTCTTCGTCTGCTTGCTTTTCACTGTTGCCTTTCTTAGCCCCTGAGGATGGCAAGTCTCCCAACCTTACTGCAGGCATTTATTATTCATATCATTGCAAAGAGTTTCATCTCTACCTACATTTAGAAGAATTACATATATGTTTTCCTAAATTTTGATTGACCTCTCACTTTGCTTAGCCACTAGAGCTTAATAATCATGTTTTTCCTCTTAAAATATACTTAATTGCTTTCCTTAATACAATTACCTTCCAGTTTTCCTGATAGTTAATATCTCTCCCTTTTCCATAAATAATTTAAGTGTTGGTGAAAATATGTACATTTTCTTCTATCTATTGTCTTCTAGTCCATTCTCATAACTTTTAAAGTCCTCTATAATGGAAGACTTTGAAATGATAACAAAAGTTAACTCTCCTGAAGTATACGCAATATATGACATTCAGCATTCTAAGTGAATATATGTGTGTGTGTGTGTGTGTGTGTATATATATATTTATAATCATATAATAATACACACACATACTCATTAAATGATTTACTATCCTTAAAACCCTATAAGGGAGATACTTATTATCCCCATGAGAAAACCAAGGCCTAGATGGGATAAATTATTGACCTAAGGCCAAAAAGCTAGTAAGAGGTAGAGCTGAGCAGGGTTATACACAAAACAAATCAAAGAAAGATTGACTGTTCTAAGTCCAATTTCTGCCACAACACCTTACTTCAAATCAGCGATGTCCAATATTGAACTTTTCATCTTTACCTCATGCTTTTCTTTTTCACAAAATGCCAATTTTAGTTACCTACTTGGCCAGTTATTTATTTGTTATCTCTTAGCTCCAAGACCATTCTCTATTCACTGTTCTTTGCTGCTGAGGCTGGGCCTTTACAGACTGAATTTCTCACACGCTCTTAACCTCTGAATTCTTGTTAGATTTCGCCAAATGGAAGCAACAGAGGGTGGTTAGAATAGGGCAAATGGGAAAAGAATCTTCCTCTTTTAGAGCCCCTGTTGGCATCAGTTCAACAGCATCGGAAAGTAGGCTATAACCCCAAGCTTCTTCTAGCACTCTCTGGGTCAGCCTTGCTAAACCCCCTTACAGGGATCTCCTCAGAGGTCCAATTGAAATTATTGCTGAGCTCTTCCCCAAAGAATGAACATCTCTGTATGGCTTGTCCTCAGAATCCTAGATTCTCATCACTCCACTCTTCTTTATTGGTAACCTCAACTCTTGTGGTGAAAGCTGTTTCCCACACTTATTAATTTCTGAGTTGAGTCCCTTCAACTATACCTGGGTGATATCTTTTCAGTCTGTACCAGTACCTAATTTTCCCAGTCACTGGCTTAGTTCACATCATTTCTGATCAAACCTCTAGATTGCACCGATCCTCTAACTGGAGTTATCCCAGCTACCATTCTTACATCACTCAAGGCTATATTCATACTTGGTTCCATATTTATAAATGGTTAGAAAATATTTGATAAAGCCATAGTTACTATTGACTCCTTTTAATCCACAGCATAAATTTAAATCTTCTTAATAGGAAATGTGGGCTCCTTTACCACCAACTACATCTGATATTCTTTCCTTCCTGCTGCATGCTCCAACCACACTAGTATTCTCTTTAAAATTCCCTTTTCCTATTTTTGGCTTGCATATGTTCTAATCCTTTGAGAGCGAACAGAAAAATTCCACCTAAAGAGTAAATTTCAGGATTCTCTCTGCTTTCACAGCACCATATGTCTACCTTTGCACTTACTACTTCTGCATTTTGCAATCCATGTTTCACTACTGTCTATGGCAGGGATAGCTCACATATTGTTCTATCTTTGCAAGTATGTAGATTCATAGCACATTTTAAGCACTAAAACATTATTTTCTTTAATAATCATGGATAAAAATAACAAAATAAGAAAATTGTGATACACTGGCTTGGTTTGTACACTCTGAGGTTTATCTACTCCTCTTAATCACTTGCTTAAAAGTGAGTCAACACTGATGCTAGAAAATGTCAAAACATTATCTTATCCAAGACCTTTCATTAAGTAACGCTGCTTCTCTTTTAGCTGTGTTTTTGACCACTTACAAGACATTTGCATTTTTATTGGTATAAAATAAAACTTATTGTTTATCTTACATCTCTCCCATCCTTATATCTTTACAGAGACTGTTATTTCAGTTTTGAATCAATTTGTGGATTATGCTATGCTAACTAATGGTTAAAATAAAAAAGAATGACAGTATAAGCATGGAATACCATACAGTAATTAAACTCACAAAAAAAAAAAACTTAGCAACATTCACTTTTATATATGCAGATCTAATTTGTTAAAGAATACAAGGGACAGACTCAATTGACATAAGGGCATAAGATGGAGATATGAATGTGAGTGGTATGAGGACCAGGAAGAGTGAGAGAAACTATGAATGTGGTTCATTACTTGTTATATTTCAATATTTTTTACTTATATATTTATAACATTATGAAAATTTGAAGTAAAGTTAAAAAAATGAGTGGTTTTGTCTCTTGACCATCTGGATGTGAGGGCAAATTTTCTGCGACACTTAATACTTCCCTGAATACCTGAGTTGATTCAGCTGATCTGGGTTGCTAGGAGAGAATTTCCTTCCTCCTTTGTCACCCTTACTGGGATTTCTTCTCCTAAGAGACCAAAAGGCAATTTCACATTTGCATTTCATCACCATAACTTCAAGCCTGATTTATTTTTTCCCCTCTAGGTTTGTTATCCCTAGCTAAAATTGTCAGATTTCGTTTCAACTTTTTATTTTCATCAGGCTGCTTTGAAGTTGTTCTGGTTAATAAATTGAATCATTGTGATTTTTAAAATACCATATTGTACAGTGGAAAATAGAGAGATCCAGTAGTATAACTGTAAAGCTGAAATAAAAGTCTCAAAAATGTAATATGTGGAAGCCTATACATATCTACATCTCATTCAGAAGCAACCAGTTTTGTGTATACATGATTAGCATCATAGATTGAGATTTGTATTTCATGAACAGGCTAGAGTTCCGTGAACCAGAAAATTCAGTTACTTAAGACTATCTTATTATAAGAAAGAAATTTTATTATTTTGAGTACATAAATGTATGTACTATGTTAATGCATTTATATTATATTTATATTTATCCATTTATATTATCCATATTTATTTACCTTATGGCTCTATGATGTCTATACTCAGCTAATATGGATATTATTTTTGTTCTCCATGATGTATTTCACTGTATGGTAATAGATTATAGTATCTTCTAACATGTCCTTGCCTAAAAACATCTCAGAAAACAATCTGAAAGATGATATATTATATCACCTGGGAGCAAAGTTCCACATTTCATAGATCTTAATCCATACGAAATAGAATTTGAACAGATTACAATATTGTTACAAAAGAATTTCCCATTGGAATATGTGTTTAGTACTGAATCAGAATGTAAATATATGTAGCTAGAATCCTACTTCTTTCATGACCTGAAGCATAGTTATTTGATTACTGAATTTATAAATACCTCATCCACAAATCCTCTCAATTATAGCACCAACGTAGAATACTACCACATGAACCTTATGATGCCACATTGTAAGGTGTGGCATCTGGAATTTTGCCACATGAACCTTACAATGCCACAGAAATGCTTGGAAGCACTATGTTTTGTATGTTTAAAGTGCATGGTAGCGACCTGTGGAAAGGATAATTTAACAGCATGAAGTGAATAAAATGCACATGATTCATTTCCTCCTTCCTCACTTTCCTTGGATTACACTGCGTTTTTATATCTACAATTTAAAGTAAATGAATAAAACTTTCTAGGCGATAAATAAAATAAATCAATTTTCCTGAAAGAAAATAATTATCTTCCTAAGCAGAAAATGACAAAATTGGCCATTGGTCTCAGTTTTAACTGTTATATAAATACTCATAAGAAGCTCCAGCCTTCCAAATATCTTTGAAATGAGAATTGAGACTCAAGAAGTTATACTTGGAAGAAACAGAAAGTTACCTTGCACAAATACCAGTCACAGTGGCAATGATCATGATTTTGTCCTAGGGCATCTAGCCAATCTTGCTATTTACTGTTTCTGGGTCCCAAAATTTTGGTGTGGCATTTAGATTTGGCAGCTATTGAAGCCAGAAAACTGTATGACTGTTTAAAGAGCAAAATGTATTCAATGTAGAGTAAATGTATAAAGTGGATAATGAAATGTAAGATTAGAAAAGCAGAATTTGAATACTTGGACTAAATGACTAGAATTCTAGGCATAACTTCTAAAAGAACAAATATGTTTTTAATATATATATACACATGATGCCAAATATTTCATTAAATCAGAAAATATCCTCATGCATGCAAAACCTCTTGACTATATATAGGTAAACATATCACCCTTCTTTCACTCTTCAGTCAATTATAAGAATCAAGGAGATGGAAATTTTGAGGCATAGTGGATAGAACACCCAACTTCAAATCAGCAATCATAATAGAATTGCTTGCTCTTTACCTTACAAACTGTGTGAGTTAAAAAAAAATATTTTAAAAAATGGCTTGAATACATGTATCAGTAAATGGATATTAAAACTTCCCTACTCAGATTTCAAAAAGATTAAACTTGCTTTATGTGACATCTTATGTAATATTCAGCATCTCATGAAAGATAATACTGAAAATGTTTTGTAAATTAGTGCAAACTCCACAGATATAGGTGATCATTATTACTCATTTGTGGTATTCCAAATCAAAAACAGAAATCACATATGGTTACAAGAACCTCATTAAACTAAAAATAAATTACTTGTCTTATGATTTGAAATAGAACTTATTTATTTTCATTGTTTCCCTGTATCCTAATTGCATTCACTTCCTAGGGCTAATGCACAAAGTACCACAAACAGAGTGACATAAAACAACAGATATTTATTGTCTCACAGCTCTGGAGTCTAGAACTCTGAAATCAAGTGTCAGCAGAGTCATACTCTCTAAAACCTGCAGCCAAGAATCCTTCCTTGTCTCTGCTAGCTTTTGGTGTTTTCCAGCAATCCTTCGCATTCCTTGGCTTGCAGATGCATCATTCCAACCTCTGCCTCTGTCCTCACATGGCCATCTTCTCCGTGTGTACCTGTTTCCTGCAGTTTCCTCTTCTTATAAGGACTTCAGTCATACTGGACCAGGGCACACTCTAACACTGTCACTTTAACATGATTACATCTATAAAGATTCTATTTCTAAATAAGGTCTAATTCACATTTTACCATTATATTTACTATTATTTCACAAATAGAGAAGCAGGTACCAAAAAAAAAAAGAGAAAAAGAAAATAAAATAACCAAGGAGTGTTTCAGAGACAATTAAAATGCTAGCTTGACTCACAGGAAGATAGGTAAAAGCAAGCACTAGGAATACAGTCAGGTAAATTAGAAGAAATCCAATGAAATGAGGAAAAGTTTGAACTTGATTCCAGAAGCAGTGGGAAATCATTATCGGTACTACTATAGGACAGTAGCATGATGCAAAAACATGTTTCAGGGCATTGGACATAACAATGAGTTTGGATTTAAAATTCAGGGACAGAAGTGCAATAAGAAGGCTATTGTGTTAATCTAGTTATGTATACTTTAGTGATAGCATAGGCCTGCAAACTGGAGCTTCCTAGAGCACCACAGTGAACTTGCATAGGAGGCCTCCCCAGGACATTTTAAATGTTGAGGGAAGCACAAAGACCTCTGTTAAGAAATGTGGCAATCTTCTACTCTCAGATCATTGAGACCCATTTTGTTAATGAACAAAACCATTAGGTTTTTTTTTTAGCCTAATAGGCTAAAACCAAAAACTTAATAGGTTTTTGGTTCATGGCTATATTCAGGAATTTCTGGTATATCCATCAAAAAATAGATTTTTACTCCTCAATCTGCAGCTTTGTAGTTTTATATTCTCTTCAGTATTTTCATTGTCTTGTCCATGTAGATCAGTACACAAGGGTTTTTTGATGTTGCATTGATAAAATAAAACAAAACAAAAAATACTCATCAAACATCTTTTAATTTTTTTTTTGAAAGCAAAGACTATGGAAAAGACATTTTCCCAAATGAAGCACTTTCCCTTTTTGCTCTTAACAAATTTTGCTTTCCCATATTCAGATTTCTTTTGCATTTTGCTAAGATTAGTTCCAGCATTATTATTACTTGTATATTTTAGCTTTTTGCATTAGCTCTAAATTTTCTATTTTAATATGCAAATTATATATTTGTACCTGATCTATTTGATTCCTAGGTCAACTCTCAAACACATGCCTATGTTAATAATGAAAGTGGGATGAATAGAAATAATCAATTTGTTTCAAATTTTATATATCATTAGCATAGAATCATGGTAGTATTTTCTTAACTTTTAAAAGTATCTTTGACATGTGTTAATAAATCCAGTTTATCATTATTAATCTTATTAGTTTTCTTTATTTTTTAATTTTAATTATGTTTGCTAAGCTTTATAAGAACATTAGATTGTTGGGTTACCTTCCAATAAGTAATCAAGTTCTAAATGTATCAATTTTTTGCTTTATCCATTTTATGCATTATTAATTTCTTATTTGCTCTATACTCTTGACATGGAAATCATCTTCCTCTGTGACAGGAAACAGTTTTCTCAATTGTTTTTAGGTTCCTCAACATATCATTTTCAGAGCTATATTCTTTTTTGAGAGTATGGAATGAGATAACTTTTACATTTCCTACACAATTTTCCTGTTTGTCTATAGTGATTACAATAATTTTCTTTGTTCATTTGCAAATATCATTGGTTAAATGCTTAATGCAATTATTTTAAATATTATCTATTTGAACAGTTTAAATATTTAAGGTCTTAAGTTTACTTTTTAGTACTTCTTTGGATATCATGTTTCATGCAAGGTAGCTTCATTTTTGTTTTCTCTAAATAAGGTGAAACTGAGTGTGGATTTTATTTCATATCCAACAGTAATTTAGGCTTAATAATTTATACTTAATAATTTAAAGTGTATACAGATTTAAAAATGACTGTGTTGTTGAAATATCCAGCTTTTGAGTATAATTTTTTTCATTCCTTGAGTGTTTTATAATGTTGTACAATTATTAGTATTAAGTTACTTGTATATTTTTATAACTTTTTACATGAACTATTTCTAAGTTATATACTCTGCTAAAATTAGTCATAGCTATTATATTTTTATTATAAACCATAATTATTGATATATAAATCTCCTATTTAATGAAAAAGTAATGAAAGTAAATTTGATAAATAGATGTTTGTTCATGATTGAGAATTATATCTTCACAGAATATTTTCTGCATTAAATCCTGACATTCCTTGGAAATGTGAGTTTAGTTCCAGACCCTCACAATAAAGCAACAATCACAATAAAGCGAGTCATAATTTTTTGGTTTCCAAGTGCACATAAAACTTATGTTTACACTATACTGTAGTCTTTTAAGTGTGCAATAATATTATGTCTAAAAATACAATGTAGGTACCTTAATTAAAAATACTTTGTTGCTAAGAAATGCTAATCATCATTTAAGCATTCAGCAAGTTATAATCTTTTTGCTGATGGAGGGTTTTGTCTGGATGTTGAGAGCCTTGCTCTGGCTTAGGCTTTGGCTTAACACAATG